GCTATGAGTCCATGGCCGCCTCTCGCACACTGCCTCGACCAGCCCAACTTTTGGGGGCGCCTTTGGGACCTCCTGCCCCCCAATCGATGATGAGCCAGTTCTCATCCAAGATGTCTGCCAATACGCAGAAGAAGCACAAGTGCAAGATTTGCGACAAGCGGTTTACGCGACCCAGCTCATTGCAGACACACATGTATAGCCACACGGGCGAGAAGCCCTTCGCATGTGACGTGGAAGGATGTGGACGCCACTTCTCCGTCGTCTCCAACCTGCGCCGACACAAGAAAGTGCACAAAGGCGACTCCCAGTCGACTGCCAGTCACTCCGATGTCGAAGAGTGATCAGGCTGATTGAGCCCCTTCCAAGTTACAACACGGGCCCAGATTCGGAGCCTTGTTGCCGATGACGATTTGGCATGCCTTGTCATGCCGCCTCGACCTTAACTCTCTGTACATTATCCGTGAGCGTCGCGCCAAATATGTGCGCTACGCCAGTGTACAACATTAAAGATGGGTGATAGAAGGGATGACACCAAAACGCCTGGCGCGATCACATGGCCGTCGGCGTCACGCACGCCCCTGTTTTTATTTCACGACTTTCGCTTACTACAGACTTATTCCCCGTTTATTATTACGACTTGATACCCAGGATTGATGGTTTCCAGCATGACGACTCTGTTCCTGTCTACGAGCGTGCTCGAATTCGAGGCAATGCGCAGGTTGATGTTTGCGAGGCAGAAACCGACGTTGCTTCTGGAGAAGGACAAAAATTGCTATGTGGTATTATGGCGAGGTTATCATCGCGCGCAATTAGAAAGTCATGTCTGCTCTCGAGACTGGTGGCCGAGGCGTACTATCGGTGTGATTGTGAAAGGGGGACTGCTGTGGTGGATTTGACAAAGAACGGCCTACAAGCCGTGAAGAGATGGATTTGCCGCCTCGTTTACGCATGGCAATCAGCTGGGAAACAGGTGGAGATGGAGAGTATCCCGCAAAGCGGAAGCAAGCAGTCGCCTCAGAACTGGCGGATTCAAAATGCGAAAGATCATGACCCATTGAGCGTTCACCCTTCTGTTCACTTTTCCTTGAGTTACGAGTAACCGCCAACGTTCTCTTGTCTCTTTCCTCGACATTCGAGTATACGAATTTTTGGTTACTCTTCGGACGTCGGCCACGAGTAGTCAGTCATGCCAACCGCGGTGAGCACCAAAAATGCGGGTGGACAGACAGACACTGCACGCCTACCCAGTCCTCGTACCGCTTCAGATCGAGTGCTTCGAACTATGACATCGTCCATCATCCATCGCCCACCTTCACCTTCACCTTCATCTTCACGTCACGTCACGTCACCGGCTCATGGCAGGGATAAGGATCTCTTGACGTCGACCAGGTCCAGGACCAGGATGTCTCGAAGCTAGCATCTCAACATCCGACCATGATTCGACAAATCAACTCGGACACACGAGGTTCGGGACTCGTTTGCTACGTAGGGACGTACGAGTAGGGGTCTCACGGTCTCACACACACACACACGCACACACACTTTGACTTCACCTCAGACGTCTTGCCCTCGTCGCATTCGTCGCATTGGTCGCATTCCACTCCAAGCTTGCTCGTTTCGTCCCACAGCACGGCACAGCACAGCGCAGCGCCGCGCCGCGCCCGAACCCCGCGGGTCGCTTTGCTCACTGACTGATTGACTGAATGACCGACTGACTTAACTTGCACTGATCTCGGACGGGCGCCAGGTCGTATTCCCTTCCAAAGTGGATCACGGCGCCAGCCTACCTCGTACTCAGTGCGCAAGGACGCACGCACGCAAGGCACACACAGACGCAAAATGTCGTATGTGGCGTTTTCGCGTCGCGCTCATTGCTCCGTCTGCATTGCCTTCAGCGCCCCCCGCTCCACGCCCGTTCGGTCCCCTTTCATCGCATCCTCTGCCGAAAGCACGGACCAACCTACCTGACCTACGAGGTCCTCGTGCTCGTGTTCACGAAATGGAACAGCACGATGTATTTACGTAGCTCACGTAGCTCACGTAGCTCACGTATCTCACGTAGCGCACGCTGGGGCCAATGATGAGCCGGCTCTCCGTATTTCCGACACGACTGTGCACGAGCTATTGCTGTTGCCGATGCGGTGCTGTTGCCGGCGCACGAGCTCCGTTTTGGCCATGCATGCCCACAATACCGGTGCTGGGTACTGGGTACTGGGTACTGCCATGTCGGCCATGCTGGCGGTAGTGACGCTAATGACGATGCTGACCCTGCCCGCCTTGTGTCGGGAAGAAAATGCAAGCGGCATGAGCACACAACCACAAACTTCGAGCTCCAAGCTTCGACCGCCAAACTCCCCACCTTGGGTGACCCAGCGTGCCACTGCCCGTAGCCCGTCGGTTGTACGAGTACTACAACAACCGCCAGGTCATAGTCGACCCTCGAAGCTAGGGTGGCAGGTCAGCAAGCAGCAGCAACGAGGATGTATCATTGGGCAGCGTTGCGCAACCTCGCTTGGCAACGATGTAATCTCACGCGGCTTGACCCAGCAACCCACCCAGACGGACAATGCAGCATTCCATCATATGCATCTCCATTCCGTCCGCATCGCTTGAAGCCGAAGTTCAACTTTACCTACGTAACAGTGGGAGGACAAGGGCTCTACTCCTGGCATTGCGGATAATTCCTACTCCTACACCTCCGACGCACGTAGGTTGCGCGGACCTCCTACCGGTCGCCACGAGGACTCGTCCTCGTGCTCTTCACCTCTCGTCTCGGTGAGGTTCATCTCAGAATGTAAACAGACCCATCCATCCATCTACCAGTCTATCCATGCGTATCCAGGTTGGCATGGGCATGTCCATGTTCCGCTCGTGTGCACGTCTGCCATACTGCGCTCAATAGTAAAATCATGTACTGGGTATTCGCGGCGTTGCAAGTGCTCGACTCGATCAGACTCAACAAGTGCCAGCGATGCCGCTGCCGCTGCCAGTAGCAGTGCCAGTGCGAGTCCCAGTCGCAGTCCCACTTCCAATTCTAGTATCCATGCCGGTCGCATCGGCAGGGTCCGAGTCGAGTACTCGTACGGAGGTCGAGTTCTGCCTAGGTCAGGTATGTCGTAACGGGTAGATATTACATGTCCAATAGGTAGACACTCGAACTGTACAAAGACTTTTTCTTTCCCTGCTGAGACGGAATATGGGAGACGACGTCAAGAACCGTCAACAATCTCCACTTGCTTCTACCGTCCATCCTTCTATCCATCCATCTGTCAGTCAGTCAGTCCCTCGATTTGTTGCGAAGGGACAGGAGGAAATGACATACGTATCGCGACTCAGGATGTAGCTTGTACTAGTACTAGTACTGAGACTGGACCGGCAATGATATAGTAATGTGCACCACGTATTCACGATATCATTAGGATTATTGTTCCTCGAACTCGAACTCATCCGGTGGATAGTTCCGAGGTAATAACACGTAGGAATTTCCTCGAGGGGTTTACCTTCCTCGATTTCAGACCACGAGAATTGCATACAAACTTACACACACAGAACGAGAGAGTCTTGCTCACGCGTTGTTGGCATCTGACACACTACGCTGTGGCACATTATGCTATTATACTCCATGTCATGACTTTGTACGACATGATATGCGGCACAGGACGTTCCAGAGAGGTCACTGTGACGTGCGAGAGCGTGCGTTTACAGTCGTGAACATCCTCGTACTCGTAGATTGTGCGTCGTAGTAGTGACAGTTAACATCACGGTTATCGTTGCGTTGGTTGTGATCAGTGCTGTGGGATCGCTGGCTGTCACAGCGCCACTCCCGCGACTGCACAGCTAGGTTACTGTAAGTAGGTAGTTGTGTGGTGTTTGTGGTGCGGTTGGTGTAGAAAATATACCTTGCCGTCAGTGAGCGCGAGGTCGAAGCATACGTACGAGTAGGTAATTACCAGCACGGCGTCATCACGTGTGATGGTTCGTCGGCGTGATGAGTATTTATAGTAGGTACCTCGGTACTGGTGAGGCTCTGGCTGTGTACAGCATTGTCCTTTAAACGAGGTACGGTAGCATGTGCAGCGCACGAGATCTCTGACAAGGCCAACGCCCTGTGGTCTACTGTGGTAGATAGATGAACGAGTACCTCGACACCTCGAGCACCTCGAGTACTACGACTGGTATCACGACGAGCTTCTACCCAACGGATGGATGGATGATCAGGCACATAGATGATCGACAATACACATTGGAAGATTTTAACTCTACGCCTACCTACTCACTCATACTCCTGCTTTCTATCCAGGATTTTCCCACTTTCAGGGACTCCTGGTCGTTCGCCGGCGCTGGATCGAGAGCAAAGGCGTCTCCTTGCCTCGTTGGTGAGCACCCCGTCCCTCTACACGATAGGCTACCCAGACCTGTCGCCGCCAGCACCAGCACCAGCACCAGCACCAGCACCAGCACGAGCCGTACACAGTAATGGCAGAGAGGAGGAAATATCGACCATGCATATTCTATATCAATCTCGAGGAGAGGATTCCACAGTCTGGCTGAGTGCTATTGGGATTATCTCATGAGCCCCATGTCCTGCATAACCTCGAACGTACACGATGTGGAGCAGTTAAAATGCGAGAGGCAGCAGCATGCCACATTGACTTTGCGTGCCCGATTTGATATTGGCAATAGCCACTCTGCAGCTCGTGACGCCGGCTACAGCTAACTTACTGTGTCGTCCCAGTGTGGTATTTCAACGCCGGCCTTACCGCTGTCGTCGTCAACACCAGCTTGTCGTGGAAAGCCACGGCGGAAGACCCAACATCACACTAACGACTGTCCCCTGCCTACCGTGACGGCGAACTCCCTGTTCGGAATGCCGTGGCCTAGCGGAACGTGAGCTCCCAGGTTGTTCCACTGAGGTGAAGCGTTGGCCTCGTGTCGAGTGATCTCACGTAGCTCGCATTCCGAACCACCACCGCAACAACATGCCACTTTTTGGCATGAATTTACCTTGACCTCGTGGCCAGAGGATGCTCGGACATGGCGAATCCCGTGTACCGGGAACGATCGTCCCACGTGGAATCGCAATCTCCAGCCGTGTCTACCATACTTCCCTCAGACAGCATGTCCTCTTCCTTTATGCTGTCCAACATTTGGACATCACTCATATCTTTGGGCGTTGTTTCACGATGAAAGCCATCGCGGTGCGACGCGGCGGGACGGCTTTGTAATGGTGGTGGTAGATCGTGCCAGTGACAGACCATGGATCGCTCCAACATGTGCTCGTAGAATGCCTTCTGCTGTCTGGTGGCCAGAAAGTCCTCAGGCCGGTTGTTGATCGGATTCGCCTGTGCTGGGTCTTGATGAAGTGGACACTTGCGGTTGGCTTCGATAGCCTGCCTCAAAGGATGAAAGCGTCAGTATCTGGTGCATTGCACGTCTCTCAATCTTGGGCCATACCACTTCAAAGTCACTCAGAATACAAAGTGGACACTGTAATCCATCAGGAAGCCTTCGACAGCCACCAACAAACTGGTAGTGGATACAGATACCCAGATTGCGACAGCTCTGTCGACACGGGAACTGTACAAAGAAGATACACGGCTCCAGCATCCGTAGTGCGGCCTGTCTCTTTTCTGGGAACTGGGGTCTTTTGATTGCCCCTGGGGGAGCAGATGAGATGTGGTCCGGGCGGATGATGTGGAAGACCTCGCCTTGTGGGTAATCAGCATTGCGTAGGAAAAAAGCTGCGGTTGATGCGTTCGTGAGCCGCGCCAACTCCTCTTGCATGGCGAAATGCGCACGGTTCGAAGCAGCTGGAAGACCGCCCGACATGGCTGCCCGCCAGGGATCCGAGACACTAGCGTAGCTGTAGGAATGCCGGGGTGGCAACTGATGTTATACAACGATGTTTTCTCATTTGATACCTGGAGCATGAGGAATCAAACAGAGACTCAGGCCTTGGGGAGTGGCAGGCTCCCCAGCTTAAATATCAAATATGCAGCTCCTGCTCTGACCAACATCGTGACATATCACATCAGGGAATGAAGGTATCACCTCCAGCAAGGGAATACTCGATTTGGTCTCGTCAAACGAAGAATGTAGTCACGGCTTGTAGGGAGAGCTCTACTCTGTCTGGAGTCAGCCGCAGTCATGTGTAATGTTTCCTCTTACCGCTTCTTGAGAGTATCTAGTCATGAGGAAATCGGGCTTCCATCCTGACATCCGGGCGACTGCACTGCCAGGACGGGAACTCACGGCAGCTTTGCTTCCACATCTGAGCCGTGGGGTTCGAAACAGCGCAGTTGGTGAAGAGAGAGGCAATCCATTCAAAGGTGACGACGGACAGTCATAACACTCCGATCTGCTCGGGTTAGTCAGTGAGGTAGTGTCTCAGCCCATGGTCATGCGAAGGACGTTGGATATTGAATGTACGGTCCGAGGTGTCAGAAGGCAGGCGGACAACGGATGGAAGGAGAACAACACAGCGCACAGGCGCCGGATGTGACTTTGCAAGGATGGTGATTTCATCATGAGGCCAGGTCAACGCTCCATGAGGCTTCTGAAGTTGTTGGTACGGCAGCTTCTGCGTTGAAAGTAGCGACGGTGGCCGTGGTGGCTACTGATTGCATGTCGCTGGCCGAAAAGCGCCTGCTCTTCTTCACGAACTCATCTCTTTCTTTTCGGCTTCTCACTGTTTTCTCATTGGCCATCTTCTGTCTCGCGCGATCGAGGCGGTGTTGACACGCACTCTCAAAAGTTGTTCGAGTCTCCATGGACTCTTCTTGGCTGGCCTCCTTCAACACCAGGATAGTGATTGGCCGCAGCTCCTGGTCGGCGGCTGGTCGCGATTGACAGAAGTCTTTGTGGCGTCCATGGCCGTCGTCTATTGGCTCAACAAGCTCAGCTCGACGAGGCAAACACTCGCGGCTTCCTCGAGCAGCAGCCTCATGAATGTTCTTGACGGAAAGCTGCTCTAGTGACAGCTGCACTCTCAATCTATATAATGTCGGCTGGCTCATGGCGCTCGACTTCTCTACGCTGTTTGTCAAACATTGTGACAGCACACGCTTGGCAACAAGTTTGTCTTTGCTGTCGACTGAAAGCATCAGGCTGAGATCATGGCGTTGAATAATGTGCCGGACACCACCATGGACGACTACTTCGACATCACTGAGGATGCCTTGGTCCTCATCAATGGGCTCCCACCTGATATTGTCCCGGATCTCGTCGCAGACACATATCAGGAGGCCCTTTTTGTCAATGCAAACGAGAACCCAGGAGCCCATCAACTCCCACCACGCCAGAGAAGGTCGACCATAGCAGATACCGTCTGGGAAACTCTCAAGCCAATCATTCAAGAGTTGTACATTCATCAAGGTCTTCCACTCACGGATGTGATGGCACGGATGAAGCAGCAGTATGGCTTTGATGCTAGGTGAGTCGCCCTGCTTCGGCCGAACTTGACCAGCAACTAAGGGTATAGCGATAAAATGTACAAGAAACGATTCCGAGATTGGCACATGAGGAAGAACTACACACAAGCCTTCAAGCAAGAATTCATCAGTAAGATTACCCAGCAAGATATCGCACCAGACCCTTCGTCTCTCGTGGATCCAAACGGAAAGCCCCTACAGGCTCAACGGCTATTGCGAAAAGTCCAGCGGAAGGGGGCCCGGGTCTCGCTGGTTGATCATCAGGCCTGCACAATACTGCGAAGGAAACGTCTTTTATCAGCCCGAGTGGACAATATATGTCATGTCCAGCTCCAGCAATCATGCGAAGCTCAACACACCGAAAACATCCTCAGATCCGCTCGGACATATTACTCCTGGTACTCCACTCAAAACAGTATCAAAGTACAGTATGGGATCAGTGTCGCTCTTTCCCAGTTTGTCCATGACATGGCCAGTGCCGTGGTTGCGCTCAGAACCAATTCTGTTCGGCGAGGATTTGCCCTATTGAACAGATGCTGCTCCGGTCTCGTCGTACTTTTGAAAGAACAACCTTTCCGATTCTTGCAGCGATTGATCCATTGTCTCGCCGTTACAACCGGTCAATGGGGCAGCTATTGCGACGTTCAAAGGACCTTATTGAAGTTTATGGCTTCATCGGCGGATGTCATCTTGGGAACCACCTACCCCATCACAACCTTAATGGCATCACTCACTGCGATGAGACAGGAACACATGCATGACTTGGTATGCAGATATGCAGATCTCTTGGCGGATACGACTATGAGTTTGCCTGACGCCGAAGCCTCGACTGAATTATTGGGGAGTGTAGCTGAAATCTACCTCCAACATGGACAGCTTGACAATGCTTCGAAATTGTGCGGGCGTCTGTGGGATGCGGCGCAACCAATATCTTCGCCTCCATCAGCCTCGCAGTTTACACTCCTGTTCTTGACAGCTAAATTGGCGCGAGAGCGTAAGGACTATGCACGTGCTGAGCAAGTGCTCAGGCTAGGTATAAGACTCGTTGTGCAGGATACTGGCAAACGAGTTTGCAACGTTAGTGGTATCTATTTGTGCTACGAAATGGCACATCTCTACGCAGACATCGGACGGTTTGCAGAAAGCGAAAGATTCTATCACATGGTTGTCGAATGCGTTACACAATGGCGGCGACGTGCTGGACCCCCTCTCCTCCTTTGCTTGATTGGACTCAAGTACGTTCTTGAAAAACAGGGCAAGGTGGAAGAATCCGCTCAACTCCGGGAACGATACGACCAAACGTGGGCGGAGCTGGAACCATGGGAGCTACGCCATGATCCTGATGAGTTGCCCCCGGATGACGAAGTAGCAGAACGCGACGGGAACGCTATTTACCACTGTTACGGAAACTTGACACAGCGCTCCGGGAACTAGTCGAGGGAGAGTGCGTTCACGAATGTACGGTCACTCCAGCTGAAGAAGAGGTCCGCTAAGCAGCGCGCTCACCTTGATCCTGGATGAGTCTCACACCCGGAGGGGTGTCGCTCCCGGGGCAGAACAGGTGCGCGGGAAATGGAAACATCAGTTTCAGCATGGCTAGAGCAACTATCACAGACCGTTGTTGATCCCATTTGCCATTGTTCTGGCCGGAAGATGCAATGTTTTAGAATGAGTGAAGACGTCTCAGTCCGCTAATGCGATGCTACTGGAGGAGTGTATCATGAGTCGTTTGTATACAGAAAGGTCATCCGTTCCAGACCGTGACAGAAGTTCTAAGGAGTGAGAGAGAGAGACCACATTATACCTTCTCCCAAATCCCACTGTCGCTTCCCAACGAGTGAAATCCCCATGCCGACGCCGAGCCCGACTGTCCACCAGTAGCAGAGCCCGACGCGGCAGCAGCAGCAGTACCGACGGCACTTCCACTTGCACTTGCACTTGTACTTCCACCCACCCGTCGGGCGTCGTCATGGTATACGGACTGATAGAACTCCTCTGGCGGTGCGGTCCGCCGTCGGTTCCAGCCCATCATCAAGCCGACCAGTCCGCCGGGGAAGACTTTTCCGACCAGGTCATAGATTCGGGCACCACTGCCCACGAACACGACGTCCGCACGCCTGCTACTCGTGAACTCCAGGCTGGCGGATCCGAATGGGCGGAACGTCTGCGGCGGCGCGAGCGCGTCAAACACGGCGTTGTGGAACTCTCGGGCCGACGAGCCGCGGATGATGCTGCTCCTCTGGCCTAGTGATTTCCGCTGATACGCCGCGCGCTGCGAACTATGCCAGTGCGACTGAGTCCCACTCTGACTCTGACTTTGGCTGTGCGTGCTGTGTGTCAACGCCGAGGACGACGAGCCTGACGCACCCAGCGTCGATTGAGTCGGAGTGGTCCGCGCCCAGGGGGACGTGGAGACCGAGCCCATGTCGAAATTGCCGAGCTTCAGCTCGCTGACCGTGATGTTTGCGCTCGCGGCGGAAATTTCTCGTCTCAGCGAGTGCGCCAGTGCCGACAGGCTCGATGTCACTAGACATTCGGGGACTTGTCGCGGCGGGGACAGACTGTTCGGGATGGACGGGTAGGCAACAACGATCGAGGACGGCGCTTTCGGATCGGGGCTATGGTTCGCGAGCAGGGGTAAGAATTGCTGGACTGTCAGCACGGGAGCGACGACCCGGGTGTTGATCGTGTCGACGATATCGGAAGGTGGGAGCAGCGCGAGCGGTCCCTCACTGTAGCCCGAGCAGCCGGGGAAGACGATCAGGCCGGCGAGCGTCATGTTCCCGGCTCCTCGGGTGATGTGGTCGCGGATGGGCTCGAGGTTCGGGTGCACGTCGACGGCCGGGTTGGGGACCGTGGACGTCAGATCGATCCACAAGGGCCGCAGGTCCTGCTTGGCCTCCTGCTGGACGAGCGAGTCCTCTTCCGTCGACGACACCGTCACATACACCACGTAGCCCCGGCGTTCGAGGTCGACGGCCAACGACCGGGTCAGAGCGTCGTGGAACGTCGAGCACGCCAGCACGACAATCTCCTTCTTCGCCCCGTTGGGTAGTTTCTTCGCCCGTCTCTTGCGCGTGTGGGCCCGCCGCCGCCGGTGCACCAGGTATATTGTCGTGCCGGCGAATGCTAACACCACGGCGATGGCCGTGCGGTTCCTCGACACCCACGCGCCGGTCTTCTGCAGGATCCCCTGCGGCGGTGGCGGCGGCCGGACGAAGAATGCGCCTGACGTGCCGGACGCGCGGGGTGGGCGTAACGAGTCCGGAATCCAACTTGCTCGATCGATGGCATCACGGATGTCATTCGCAATGGCGTTGGCGTGCTTGTCGACATAGTCGGCGACGCGGCTGCCGTAGTGGGCGATGTCTTGGGGGACGGAGGCGAGCTGCGAGTAGGGAGACGTCAAGTCAGTGATGTGTAGGAGGGTAGTTAGCATGGATGGTCAGGTAGACTTACCAGGTCGAGGAACTGCTGGTCGTCGCTCGTCATCCTGGGTGTGGTATGGCTGTGGTAGTGGGTAGCCGAAGAAGCCTGCCACGAAGATGTCGGCACGGCACTGGCGTCGAGGATCTTCTATCACTGAAGGGTATAAGCCGTCAAGGATTACGCAGGATCATGCTCGAGTTGAAGTTACCGACACTACATTGAGATGTCGACAGACATGGCAGCGCGGGGAATGAATGAGACTGCGAGCCCGTCACGTGGCAGGCTGCCATTCGCCTTCGTCCCTCGTCAGGCTGAGTTCCATTACGAATCATCCAACATCCACACTCCATTCTCCTATCAAACGACATGAATGAGTAAACGCTTTCCTTCTGGCATCTTCCGGCGTCTCCTGGGTAGAGGCCTACATAGCGTGTTTGAGATTCTGTCTTTCTATTTTCCATGTGTTAATTTCACACCTCCACGACCCAGGCTGTTCACGGACAAGCCAAATACATTGATTGTCACTGCGTAATGAATGAACCGAGTACCTCACTATTGCACGCGTAGAGGACAGCGCAGCTACAAACCGGGAAAAGTCCCACGATATTGTCAGTAAAGGTCGTTCGAGACCACCGTAAATCTTCCTCGCTGGACGCTCATCCCACCATACCATCGAGACCGGCGAAGCCCAACATGTCGCAGACACGCGGAACAGAACTCGACCCCCTAGTCGACCAATTCCAGCACTTAACATCCAAAGCCCGACCAAATGAAGCTCTCAATGTCCTCAAGCGCGTGGCCTCCCTGGTCAAGCCTATTATGCGTGTTCGAGGCTGGCGGGTCGGCGTTCTAGCAGAGTTCTACCCCGACGAGCATGCCTTGCTCGGTCTCAACACCAACCGCGGCGAGGCCATCCATCTGAGACTCCGATATCCATCGGACGACAGGCAGTTTCTGCCCTTCGAGAACATCGTGGACACCATGCTGCACGAGCTATCTCACATTGTGCACGGGCCACATGACCAGGCCTTCCACGCCCTGTGGGACAAATTGCGGGATGAGCACGAGGCTCTGCTGAGAAAGGGCTACACGGGAGAAGGATTCCTGGGTAAAGGAAACCGCCTCGGCGGAAGAGGCATCCCGAGATCTGAACTCCAACGGCAGGCTCGCGCGGCGGCTGAACGGCGGGGCCGGAATGCCGTCCTAGCACAGGGTAGCGGCACCAAGCTTGGTGGGAAAGGGATACTGCGCGGCCAGGATGCGCGCGAGATCATCGCCGCCGCGGCGGAGAGACGGAACCGCGTGAACCGCGGCTGTGGCAACACGGTGCCCGACATGGGCAGGAAGCTCGCGCAAGAACAAGCCATCAAGAAGGAGAAAGTCGCTACCACGCAGGCGGAGAAGGCGGACGAAGACGAAGCAGCGCTCATGCAAGCCTATATCGAGATGATTCAGGAGGAGGAAGCTCAGCTGTTCGGTGCGGGCTACATTCCACCCAGCCGGGACAACCCTACTGGCGGCTTTAAACAGGGGAACACCGTGCAGCCACCCACAGACATGAGGAAGCTACGCGAGGAACAGCTTCAGATCGAACGACAATTGAGAGAGAAGCCGGAATCAAACACTTCGACGACAGAGTACGAACCGGGATCCAAACCGAACTCGATGTCGAAACCCAAGCCAGCATCAAATCCCACTTCCGCACCGCCACCGCCACCGGCACGTCTCCCCCACGAAGAACAAACCTGGACATGCGAAATCTGCACGCTCATAAATCCGATCACATACCTCCTCTGCGGCGCCTGCGAGACCGAGCGACCACCATGGTTCAATCCACCTTCTCCCCCTCCTTCCTCATCCACCCTTTCATCCACATCCAACGCCCGCGCCAAATCTTCGAAACCCCAGCCTCATAACGTCCTGGCTTCTCGCAACGCAGCAGATAACATCGCGCGCTTCGAGAGCGCCGCCAAACAAAAAGCCCAAACCAACCCCGTGGGCTGGACGTGTGGGCAGTGCGGCAACTGGATGGAGAGCCAGTGGTGGACATGCAGCATGTGCGGGAGGATGAAGGCCAGTTCATGACTCCAGACATTTGATACATAAAAATACTTGATGCCGTGATGTCCAGTGGCAGTTCGAGGGGAATGACAAGCTCGGAACCACACGACAATGCACTTAAACGATGGCGGCAGCTACCACCCTTGCTCTAAATGTCGCCCCAAGCTGAGCCCAAGAACGTCTATCAACCAACCCTTCCCTTCCACTAGACTTACTCACACTTCTCTTGACGCCGAAGCCAAGCCAAGCCCGACCAAGCCAAGCCAAGTCACGTCAAATCCCATCAAGCTCACATCGCCAAACGTGCAGTCTAATTCTGCGACTTTTGCCCCGATCGAGAACAAAGGGACCCAAGCCAGCCGTGGAGTCCTATCATACCCGACTAGGGTAATTAATTACCGTCGCGACATGAACCAGCGACCGATCGTTGAGAAAATGACATGTCCCACCGCCTCACCGATGGCGACCGACGACGATGATATACAGCGGGGCCCGTGAAGGGTGTGAGGATACAACTGGGAGGATACACCAATATAGATGGCGTAAGGCTTGACTGCCGATGGTACTCATGGCCTTGATCAATGCTTCCGAGCGAGGCGCAGGGCTTGAATGCCGATGGTACTTATAGTCTTGATCAATGCGTTTGAGCGAGGCGTGTGCGGGTTTCACAAAGTTGAGGCTTTCTGGCACCCATGGGGACCGCACTGCACGGGAACGAGGAAAAGGAGAATTTCACTAATGAATGGGACCAGCTGTGTTGGCATAGGATGGCTACATTCTATCCGACCTGTGCTCCGTACGTGCTGGCCTACATTGAGGTCAAATCCGTCAACGCCGCCTCAGCGATCAGGGCGACTCCATTCGGATTGTGAGTTCGTAAGAACCAGAAACTCTTCTTACAGTGAAAAGATCAATTGCGATGTACTGTGCGTGCTGTGCTATGTGTGGTATCTGAAAGATTTCATCCAACGACATCAGGGGATAACAAGAGCGACGAACGAAGGGGGTAGTTGTTCTTTCATCCACAGTCCATCCAGCCTTCCCCAGATCTCTCGACAGAATACTCCCAAGCCCAGCCTCTCCTCTGTTTCGTGGGCCCTGAGTTATTTGGCTTCCGTGGCTGTCTCGGAAACATATCAAGCCGGGGACACGTTAATCCCTTGCTTCTGACTGGCCGAACTTCAGATACCAGCTCCATGGGATACCCAAGAGGATATGCTTGACGTTACTCATCGCCCACTTCTTCCTCTGGGTCATTCTAAAGCCGAAGTTGGACTTCACCCGCGGACGCGGAGACCTTGCACCTTTCTAAGGCTCGTCCTGGAAGAATCTGTTTACAATCACGTCAGCAATATCCGCACAAAGGAGGCTTCGGCCAGAACTTACCGCATGATAGCTTTGATACCTCTAGAACCGAGCCCATGCGGAGGATACGCGATCCAGACAGGATCAGCCACAGCGCCCATCTTTTCTCTGAATTCGGACTTCCTTGCCAGGTTGAACTGCTTGACGATCGCGTCGTAGGTGGCCTGCAACATTTTGACCTTGGCACCACTCATGTGATGCCCCGGAGTCAAATGGTTGGCGGCACCGCCTCCGAATGTAACGCTAGGCACGCCTGCGTTGGCGGCAACGTTGAGCGCATGCGTCGTGATGTACTCAATCGTCCCTGATGGTGCTCCGGGGAAGTCCAAGGTGTACTTGGCTTGCCATCCTTTTTTGGGAGCGATCTCAGCCATGACTGCAACACCGCAGATGTTGCCGTCTTTGTCTTCGGCAATGAAATAGCGCCTGTGCTTCTCATCGCGGAAAAGGTCAATGTTCGACAAATGAATCTGAGTTCCCTTGCGATTCGCCAACCAATCCTTGACTCTAGCATTAGTACGCTCTTTGATGCTCTCGGGAACCGGTTCATTGTGAGGTAAGTCGGTGATCTTAACTCCGTCACTTTGAGCCTTGCGAATCTTCCTCGCCACTTCCGGGTCAGACTCGGCAGACTTCTTGTGGGGGTCAACCCGCTCTTCGGCGACACAGGAGAGAGTCTTCCAGCCTAGCCTCTCACCAAGGACTTCCTCCAGCTGAGGGCTAATCAGAATCCAGATAGGCTTCAACCGGGTCTCCTTCTTCAACCATTGGAGGAAAGATACAACGATCCTGTAGTACTGACTCGGGTGGCACAGAGGGTCACCTGGAAGAATGGCATAATGTCCCTCCGGAACATAGCACACTGCGGCGCCAGAATCTGCATGACGCCAGATCTGGTATCGCTCATCGCCCCACGATGTCGAAGTCGCGTCGCCATAATTAGCAACGAGATCGAAGAGATCTGGTAGCTTCCGATCCTCGACCGCCACTTCGCGCCCACGTTCCTGTTTCCAGACCGGGTTCAGGGTATCCGCTTCTGGGTGTCTGAGTTTCTCGACCACTGGCTTGGCGGGGAACGACTTGGGGTCTCGGTGGAATAACGAGGCAAGACGGATATTTCCGAGCTTCAGGATGAGCATGACAATTCGTTCCAAACCAACACCACAGCCAGCATGCGGTGGAGCACCCCATTTGAAACCCTCCATGTATTCGGCCATATCATCGGGGTCGATGCCGACCGTACGCATATTGTCCTCAAGCATCTTCGATTCATGAATACGCTGGCCTCCGGAGATGATTTCCTGACCACGAACGAACACATCGAAAGAGTTTGTATAACGTTCATCTTGAGCGTCCGGCATGGTGTAGAAAGGCCTGGCCGATCTGGGGAACTTATCCAGGATGTAATAGTCTGTCTTGTATTTCTCCTTCATGAGCTCGCCCAGTCGAATCTCGTCTCGAGTGGCCAGATCTTCGAGGGGTGAGACTGGTTCCCCATCTTCGTTCAGCCAGCCGGAATCAGTAAGAAGCTGCACGGCATCTCTGAACGGAATTCTCGGTGTTTCCTCAAGCCATACGAGATCTTCGCTTGGGAATTGCTCCTTGATGAGATCGACTTCAGTGCGGTATTTGGTGTAAATGCCCTTGAAAATGGTCTTGAGGGTATGGTCAATGACATCCATCATTTCATGGTAGTGCTCCTCAATGGCCATTTCGAGGTCGAGACCGGTGTATTCGGTCAAATGGCGATGGGTGTTGGAGTTCTCTGCTCGGAAGACAGCACCGATTTCGTAGACTCGCTCGAAATCAGACGCGATGGCCATCTGCTTTGCCAACTGAGGAGACTGGGCGAGGAAGGCCGGCCGACCAAAGTAATTGACCTTGAAGACGGATGCGCCCGACTCAGTCGCGGCGCCCTGAAGTTTGGGCGTGTGGATTTCGACGAAGCGCTGCTCGTCGAGGGAAGACCGGAAAAGATTCCCCACGGCTGCTTGAATGCGGAAGATGGACTGGGAAGTGGCGGTTCGTAGATCCATGATTCGGTTCGCCAGCCTTACGCGGTCCGGGATCTGACTCTGGCGGCCATCGACCTTTTCATTCTCGTCCAGGATCGTCAACTCCGCCTCTTGCACAGAGAAGGGAACTATCAATAGTCAGTGGCGGTCATTTGACAAGAGTTGGGGCAAGTATACCCGGCTCCGCACGTCTCACGACAACGTGCAAGTCGGAGACCTTGATCTCTACAGTGTGGATAGAAGCAGACTTGACCGGTATCTGCGGCTTCTGCAAAGCCCCCTTGACGAGCAAAATGTTGCCGGTCCGCAGATGCTCCGCCCAATGAATCATAATGGCCGAGACCTTGCCTGGTTCCTCAACCAGGACGCCTTGGATGGTGGAAATCTGTTGTCTGAAGACGAGGAACACCAACTTGGGCCCCATACTCCGGACATGGTGCAATCTGCAGCGGAATACAACTTCCTGGTCGACCATCTCTTCTGTGATTGTGCTAATGTCGAGGCGGTGGTGCGTGTTGCGAGTGGTTGACTGCATCAGAGGCAAGTCGCCGTAACGGGACTTCATTTCATCCGTCTCGGCTTTGGCAGCTTCTTCCAATCTCTTCTTGATGCGCTCCTCGGAGTCATCGCGATGGTCAAGGCTCAGCTTGGAGCGATGTTCGTGTTTTCGCTGTTTCGCAATAGCTCTCTTTTGAGCATTCTTGCTCATGCCATCGCTGTCAAAGTCACTCATCTCGGACTCATTGTCACTCGAGGTATAGTCCGACTTGTCACCCAGGTGGAGGAACTGAGCGAGAGAGCGTCGGTGAGGACCCGGGCTCTGGGAGGATATGGGAGTGCTGTGGCCATCGCCGTGCTTGGGACTGTCGGTGCCACCGTTCGGGTGGACATGCTTGGAGAGTTTGCGCAGGACCGACATGATGGAGCAGGGCACCGGAAGATCTTCTTCCGTGAAGAGAAAGGGAGGTGCCTGCCACTGAAGTTATGAATTTGATCAAGACTGACTGACGCCGGCTCGAGATATTGTAGGGTGGTGGGCCGAACGAGCCGGTCAGGCTCTGCAAAAGGGGTCTTGATTACTTTGTATCTGAGCGATCAGGCGGCGGTGACACGACTGCGGCGACCAAGCTGGCGACACGGCAGCGTCAATTGACAGACGTTGTCCAGGTGGCCGTGACTCTCGATGCCACCGTTGGGGAGACTATCGGACCCTGGCGGTTGCGAAATAAGAGGTTGGCCTGCAGCGGGAGCAGGCTGGGATTGAATGGAGGGGCTGCGGGAGGGACGAGGGGAAACCCGAAAGTGTGAAATGCGATCAGATTGGCAGGAGTCTCGACAACTCCAACTCGCTGCCTCCTTGCGGTGACAGCTATGCGACAGGGAAACCGCAACAGAAGCAGGGGCGGATGGAGGATCAAGAGAGCTGCCGTCGCTTTGTTGAAGGCAGAAAGCCGGATGCTCGGAAGGCTGCACAGCTCACTTTGTGGACGGGTGTCAGAAGTGCACGGACGCGGCAGCCGCCCCTCTGATCTTTTCTCATCACTTCAAACACCTGCACCACCAGCATGCTCCGAAGTGCTTTTCGTTCGGTCTAATTCGGCGGATATCCACTGCTCTTTGGTGGCCGGTTAGTGTTCTGTTCCG